GTGATAACTACAGTCCAGTTCTCTCTGAATGTGTTATAGTCTGATTTTATGTGTATATATACACTCAATGGTTTGTTTTCAGAGCTGTTTTATTTGTTAGTAGCATAGATTCGACAAGAAGTTGGTTAATGGTGCCATATTGAGTTGCTGCTCATCCATGATCATCAGCGAATCATCTTTTTCACCATACCAAAGGTCATCTACTGCATTTTTGGGTTTAGTAAATTTACTATCATGTTCAAGAAACCAGTTTGACATTATATGAATTTTGTGACATACCGCATTATCCTGCTGAAGATAGCCATTACAGGATTAGCAGCTTCAGCCTGTTCTGTTGATACAACACATGGTGGATCCATGATTTTATTTCATTTTATGTCAAATGATTCTACCATTCATTTGTCAAAGCAGAAATCAAGATATATGCTGCCATGTAACTCTGTATGAGCTGTTTAAAAAACCTTATTTTTTACTTTTTTAAAAGCAATTCTTCTGACAATGTTAGTAATTCGAAAAAAAAAAAACTATTGTCAAGTTAAGATTGTTAGTTTTCTTTATTGCAACAGTTCTAAAAAAAAAAAAAATATATATATATATATATATATATATATATATATATATATATATATATATATATATATATATATATATATATATATATATATATTGCCTTTAGAACTTATTTATCAAATGTTTAGTAAAAAAAAAGAAAAATATCTGTTGGTAATTAGTACTTTACAAAGAAATAGTTACACAATCTGTAATAACAACATCCAAGTCAAAGATGTAAAACATAGGGCTCTATTTTAACGATCTAGGCGCTAAGTCTAAAGCACATGGCACAAATTTAAGGGTGTGTCCAAATCCACTTTTGCTATTTTAAGGACAGAAAAAACTAACAGGGTCTAACAGGGTTGTGCTTATTCTCTTAATGAGTTATAAGTGTGTTTTAAGAATAAACCAATCTGAGTATCATCTCCTATTCCCTTTAAGAGTCAGTTGTGTTGCGCCATGGTGCATATGCTATTTACATGGCAGACTTTGTAAGAGGAAAAACTGAACACTTCACTAGCTAGAAAACAGTGAAACAAAGTAGTAACCATATACCTTATTGTGCCAGGTATATGATAGGGCCCATTGAGTCAATCCTAATTACATGTTTAATACAAAAGAACTACCTTTAAGGCATTTTTAGCCTGTTAAATCCAATTCATAAAAACATAGTTAACCATCACAATGACAATACATTTTTTTAAAGGGATACTAATTCAATTACAGTTGTTTCGTTGTTTACTTCCCTTTGTCTCAAATTTATTTGATTTCCTTTGTTCTTTGAAGCACATACAGACATCATGTCTTCTTTTTCATGTTTTCTTTTTTGTCAACCTTGTTTGTAACAAGTGGTTATTTAAGGTAATTTTGCCTTACTGTCTGGCCATTCTCCTCTGACACCAACATGGCAATTTGGCTACAGAACTCCAGAGCTACAGATATTTCCTCTCTTTTTTAGATCACTCTCTGTAAACTCTAAACATGGCTATACACACAATTCCCAATAGGTTACTGAAGTACTCAAACCAGCTTGCCTGGCACCAACAACTTTACAATGTTTAAAGTCACCGTAACCCCTTTCCATTTTGATGTGTGGTTTGAACTTCAGCGGATTGAGCAGTATTGACCACTTCTACATGTCCAAATGCATTTAGGTGCTGTCATGTGATTGGCTGAGTAGACACTGTCTTTGAACACATATACTTAACGCCTGTGTGTCATTGTAGGAGAAGCCATTTTTGATAAGCTTCAGTTCAGTAAATGCCACTGTCTCTGATAGGCAGGATCACACAGCAAAATATCACCCATACTAAATATAAGCTGATCTAATCTAGCGGGGTGAGAGTAATTAAACTGCCCACCTATTAGTTCTGTGAAGCACAATGCTGCTGCTGATAGAATATGTTCATTTATGTTAGGATGAAGAGTCTGGCTTTACTGAAGCATGAGGCACAATCTAAGTGGGTGTTTCTTGATCAGAATAAACTGAAAACCATATAATTTAAAGGTTGGCTGTATGAAATTACTGTATATTGTTGGACACACAATAAAGTCATTCATTAGACAGTCTGTTTTTTAACTGCTTTTGTTCGACAGAGTCTGCTATTTGGAATAAGTATAGTTCTACAGAGACCGTGGAACATGTACGGTTTAAATTAAAGTGCTTCTGAAAATGAAGAAGATTCATTTAAAAAAAAAAGAGAGCAGTGGGAACTAAGGAAATTTTACTAAAAGTACTGTTACAAAAGGCTTTACAGCAGATAAAAGTACATAACATTCATTTAAGTCATTTATGAACAAGAGGTTTAATCAGTTCAATTTAGATTATTATAGTTATTTGAAAAAGCTGACAAAAATGCTGTTTTTTTTTTTTTAAGTGGCTCAGGGAGAGTTTTTGTTGACTGAACATTGAAATTCACATCTTCCTGGTTCTCTTGACAAAATGTCAATATTTTTGGGTGACCAACATTATTCAAAAACAATATACCAAAGTATAAGTTTATTCAAGTATTTTTTTTTTATGTAATTTTTTTTTCTGTAAGCAATTGACACATCTGTTTCATGAGTTATTTTTTTTAATCTGTAGATAAAATCACAGATTTTTTAATTGTTTGCAAATTACTGGTTATTAGTGAATATATGAGTTTACATTCAGTGCAGTGCTATTTGATGTATATATATACATCATGAGACATGTATTTCCAGTGAGCCTGAAATGCATGTCCAAAATGTTAACTAATTAATATTTCTTTCTATCTTCGTAAGTAGCTATTTGTATATATTATAAAAGCTGTTGTAGATCAGTGAATAATTAAAGATTGTAGGTTATTTCTAAATGAACAGCGTAATCATTGTTTTTTGATTGGCTCTTTCCAGTTTGGCTCTTTCTCCACATTGTAAGAATGCAGTGCAACTCATCCTTTTGGAAACTTCAGTTCCAAGATTTAAAACATTTATTGAGGCTATTACACAGTTTACATATCTTATTGATCAGTCTTAGTGTAAATGTTGATTGTACATTGAATGATTGTGCGATGCAGGTGACGCAGTGGTTGCAGTAGTTAGGGCTGCCGCCTCACAGCTAGAAGGTCGCTGGATCGCTGGTTCGAGCCTCGGCTCAGTTGGCATTTCTGCGTGGAGTTTGCATGTTCTCCCTGCGTTCGCATGGGTTTCCTACGGGTACTCTGGTTTCCCCCTCAGTCCAAAGACATGCGGTACACGTGAATTAAGTAGGCTAAATTGTCCGTAGTGTATGAGTGTGTGTGTGAATGAGTGTGTGTGGATGTTTCCCAGAGATTGGTTGCGACTGGAAGGGCATCCACTGCATAATAGGTTGGCGGTTCATTCCGCTGTGGCAACCCGGCATTAATAAAGCGACTGAGCCGATAAGAAAATGAATGAATGATTATCTCAACCTGTGCAAAAACCTCAGTTATACGTGAATAAATTCAATCTTGATTAATAGAAAAGGATCACTTTCATGCCACGATATGAATTCACAATTACATAAACCTAAATTTTCAATACATGAAATTGCAATTCTGAGGCCCAGGTATCAGAATCTAAACTAAGAATTGTGAGAAAAATTGTAAGAAAAAGTTTTTTTTTTTTTTTTTTTTTTCCACATAAACTCATGGTTGTAAAAGATTAAGATTACATTCCAAGGATCAACAGAATTGCAAGACTCTGATAATTTGTATTATATAAATTTGATATATTTTATTATAACTCAGTTATATTTTATTCTAGTTTATATCTCTCAGCTCTGACTTATTGAGTTCTTTTTTCTATTGTAAACTTTGAGATACATTCATGTTATAATCCAAAATTATCTCACAATTAAGACTATCAGAATTAAAAAATATATATTAGGTTTGGGCCAATGGACAGACATTACAAGGTTGAGTTGACATCATTTTCTGCAATGTCACAATATATGCTGTTGTTATGGTGCATAAAATGGCAAATGGATTATAGTAGCTTTTTGACAGAGTAGCTAGCTTTAATTAAGAGTAGCTAGATGTTTTCTAAATGAGGCATATAAAAAAAACAGAAAAACAATCAGTTAAATTAGATTTAATAGACTACATCAAATATGCTTTATACATACAAAGACGCAACTCTTGAAAAACAAAAGTAAGAATTCTGAGCAAATATTTGATTTAAAGCTCTGAATTGTGAAATTATTTAAAATGTGGTGAAAAAGGGGCAGAAATATGAATTTGCATCTCATGTGACAATTCACACTCACTAGACTTTTTTTGCATACTTTCCATTTATTGGTTGTGTGATGGTCTTATGAGAGAGGCTTGATGAATAAGGGAACAACACACAATAATTCAAAAAAACAATCAGAGACTGATCATGAATAGCCACACCTCCATTTTTAAAAGTCTTTGATTAAGTGTTTTGACAAATGGGTCACCAGTATTTCTAAACAACAAGTGGTATTCAATGCTTTATTTTTATTGTTTTCATGGGTTGAAAACTCTATAGGCAAAACCGTTACAAAACACTTTCATTTTAAGAAAACACACTAATGTAAACAGCACTTTAATTGACTTTTTTCTTACCATTCAATTTCTATTCTATTCCTGAGTTGCAAAACAAACGATCTAGATGCACAGTTAAATTTTTTTTTTCCATTAGCTTTTACAGAACTTTGAAATCTAAAATAATGTAAAATGTTGCTTCATAAACAGTTCATTTAATGCTTCCTTCCTATTCATACTCCTTTGACAAAAGGAAGGCAATACATTCATTGAGTCTATTAATGTACTCTGCATGTACATTGAATGGTTCATTTAATCAAACAAACCACACATTTTCCTATAATCAGCTGTCTTAATTAATTCAGATAGTTCTACTTCATCTTTAATAACTTCTTTCTTTCTTTCTTTCTTTCTTTCTTTCTTTCTTTCTTTCTTTCTTTCTTTCTTTCTTTTCAGATCCTGACTTTAAAGACATAGGAGTCCCCAAACCTCTTCCCTGTGGGTATTATTCCTCTGTCTATAACAGTTCTCCATATAAACACATCTAATGGCTTTCATTTTCGGTAATCTATCTTCCTGTGTCTGTTCCTCTGCAGTTTGTGAATTCGAGATGGGAGGACCCGAAGGCATCATTGAATCTCAGCAGATCACCAAAGATGGCAGAGCCTTGCAGACGGAGGCGGTGGACTGCAAATGGTACATCCGTGCACCTCCTCGATCCAAGGTCAGTCCCAGATTTCCCTGCTCAGTCTAATAACAGCTCACTTGTGTCCCTGTTGTGGTTTTGTTATCCAGCCTGACACTTTTCTGACATATGACAGCTGGTTTCTGCCTCAAGCTGAGTAACCTCTTAACACATTTCATTGTGGCATTTGCCTTCTGTTTTTCAGTCGTTTGCATTTTGCAGTGTTGAAGAAACATCTCTGGGCAGATTTGTTTTTGATTTACGTTGAATTCTGTCGAGGGCATTAAAATGTGGCAGTTTTCTTTTTTTTTTAAGTGTGTGACATAAAGCTGAATGAGCTCTTGTAGGGTTGCCATTGATTTTATAGAGGATAAGAGTCAAAGAGAAAGCACTCATGCAGAAAAGGTCGGGCAGCCCGGCTTATTTAGAGTTAGGTTTGCTTTTTAATTGACGCAGTGCAGAAAGAGCTGCATTTCTTTTACAAGCTGTCCTGGTTTCACTATTTAAATATGCACAAAGTACTTGTTTCTAATTTTCCTTTTCTTTTTTCTTTCTTTCTTTCTTCCTTTCTTTCTTTCTATCTTTTTTTCTTTCTTTCTTTCTTTCTTTCTTTCTTTCTGTCTATCTGTCTATTTAACTAAAACTTGTCTGTTTGGTGATTTTAATAAAATAACAATGTTACAATGAAATACACACATTTAGGAAAAGTCAGGGCATTATAGGTTAAAAATATCTATCTATTTATCTTTCTGTCTGTCTCTCTGTCTGTCTGCCTATCTATCTATCTATCTGGGATTTGATGGTTGATGGAAAAAAAATCAGTTGTTCTTGTCACGTTTAGGTAGCGTGTATATATAAAGGCTGAATGCATAACATAACATCCAAATATGCATATTTCAGTCTAAAGTGAAAGTAACCAATTACAGAAAAATATTTTGAATGACATTTTCCGAAATTTCAATAAAACAATCTCACAGTTCATAATTCGTAACCTTTTGATTAAGTGGCTAATTTGTATGAATTTGTACAATTTCATTCTTACAATTTCATACAATTTGTTCATCCCCCAATGACGGTGGGGTTTACGGGTGGGGTTCGTTCAACTGAACTCGTACAAATTCACATGAAATAGCCACTAAACTGACAAAATGTAAAATAGTTATGTTTCCTCACAAGATCAAGCTAAAATGTTTTGCTGTATCAGAATCTCAGATTTTTTAAATAATATATAAAAATAATATGAATACTATTTAGATCATGCTGCCTTCAATTTTTTAGTATATGACCTTGACAATAATAATAATATTAATAATAATAATATTTCATTCATTCATTGATTTTCTTTTCGGCTTAGTCCCTTTATTAATCTGAGGTCACCACAGTTGTCTAAACCACCAACTTATCTAGCACGTTTTTATGCCCTTCCAGCCGCAACACATCTCTGGGAAACATCCACACACTTATACACTACGGACAATTTGGCCTACCCAATTCACCTGTACCGCATGTCTTTGGACTGTGGGGGAAACTGGAACACCCGGAGGAAACCCATGCAAACGCAGGGAGAATGTGCAAACTCCACACAGAAACGCCAACTGCCCCAGCCGAGGCTCAAACCAGCGACCTTTTTTGCTGTGAGGTGACAGTTTTACCTACTGCGCCACTAAGTCGCCATAATAATAATAATAATGATAATAATGATAATAATAATAATAATAATAATAATAATAATAATAATAATACATTTTATTTGTAATGCACCTCTCTTATACTCCAAGCGCTACAAAGCAAAATACCAACATTAGCAGAAAAAGCACAACAATAAAAAGGCTAAATAAAAAGTTAAAAAAATTATCATCAAAATGAAATGATCCTAGAATAACATAATTGTAGAATTGCATGCTATTGTATAATTTTTAAAGACAAATAAATGTAAATGGTTAATTATAAGGCAATTTATGCTGATGTATGAAAAATTTAAATGGTATTTATATGGTACTTAACTGAACTTTATATGGTATGTAAACTGAACCAAACTAAAAACTGTGACTACGGAACAGTGATACAAACTGAACTGACAACTTTGATAGCTTAATCTCAGTACTGGGTTTCGGCTGGAAGGGCAGTCTCTTCGTATGTGAGAGTAATTGGTGGTTCATGCCGCTTTGGCAACCCCTCATAAAGCAGGAAATGAGCCAAAGGAAAGCAAGTGAGGTTAGTGTAGGCTACATCCAACATTTTTTTGTTTCTGTCAGCTTTATCTTTAGTTAAAATACTAGTAATTTTTTACAGCTCAGATCATTGTTTTGTGTCTAAATGTTTATTGTTTGACAAGTACCTGTTGAATCTGGATAATGTATATTTAGGTGTTTGTTTGGACTTAAAGCCATTCAGTCTTGCACATAAAAAAATGTATGTGATCCACAACACAACACAGCTACAAAGCAATTTTTTTCCCCCCTCAGGCCATATCCAACTTTATTCATTCATTCATTCATTCATTCATTCATTCATTCATTCATTTTCTTTTCTGCTTAGTCTTTTTAATAATCAGAGGTTGCCACAGCGGATAATATCCAGTGTATGTTTTACACAGTGGATGCTCTTCCAACCACAACCCAACACTGGAAAAAACCCATACACTCTTGCAATCACACACATACAGTACATTATTTATGGCCAATTTAGCTTATCCAATTCACCTATACTTTAGCACATGTCTTTGGACTGTGGGGGAAACTGGAGCATCCAGAGAAAACCCACACAAACATGGGGAGAGCATGCAATCTCCACACAGAAATGCCAACTGACACAGCTGGTGCTCGAACCAGCAACCTTCTTGTTGTGAGGCGATCAAGCTACCCACTGTGCCACCATGCTGCTCATATCAAACCTAAATAGTAATAAATTACTCCAGCTCAGATCAATATTTTGTGTCTAAATGTTTAGTTTTGTGGCAAGTAGCTGTGTAATTAGTGGGATAATGTACATTTAGGTCAGGCGTGTCCAAACTACGGCCCGCGGGCCATCTGCGGCCTGCAATCAGTTTTGTGGCGGCCCGCGGGGCTTTTTATAAGTAATAATAGAATCTGGCCCGCTATACAAAAATGAACGTAATTCCATAAATAACCACCGGGTGTCGCTATGACATGTCTTCAATTAGGCAGCAGTTTCTGTTTTGAAGTAAAACGAGCCGAACAAACTGAAAGAAACATAATTCATAATCACGTTTTGGCGAGCCATGGCACAACCAAGAAAAAGGAAAATCAACAGTGAGAGCAGGAAATTTCAGTCATGTTGGGGCAAAGAATATTTCTTTACAGAGGTCAGTAGGAAATGTATCTGTTTAATTTGTCAGGAATCAGTTGCATTAATGAAGGAATATACGGTAATATTAAAAGACATTATGAAACAAAACATCACTTTTACACTGATGCCGTAGGAGATCAAAAACTAAAACAATTAGCAGCTGCCCTATCAGCTCAACAACAGCAGTTTTTGTGCTAGTAAAGTGCAAGAAAGAATTCACTGAAGGAGAATTTATATAGGAGTGTCTGATGAGTGTTGCAACTGTAATTTGCCTAGAGAAGATTCCAGATTTTAAAAACGTACGATAAGTTTTTTTAGAAAGACAGATGGAAGACAAATTAAAATAAATCCACAATACACACACACACACACACACATTTATATATATATATATATATATATATATATATATATATATATATATATATATATATATATATATATATATATATATATATATATATATATATATATATATGCGTGTTTGTGTGATGTATGTAAAATTTGGCCCGGGACAAAAAGTTTGGACACCCCTGATTTAGGTGTACATTTTATTTCAGGTTTTTGCAGACTAAAGCCATTCAGTCTTACACAAATACATTGGTGTGATGCAAGCTACAGTACATTAAACGAAAAACATATGTTTTCTAGTGCAATGCATTTTTTTCCATTTTCATATTATATATATATATATATTTTTAGTTTTAGTTTTTTTTACCTCAGGCCATATCCAGCATGAATAGTTAGCACACTGGTTGCTACCTGCTACCTCTTATGGTCATAAACATGCAGGACTATTACTGTTTATGGTTTGGGTAAGCAATAAATATATTTAATTGTAAATATTTTGTACAAATATAGTTTTATTTCTTATTTGTACAGTTAAAAAACTAAACAGCATTTATCTGAAAATAATTGCACAGAATTTTTGCGAGCCAATCTGAATCAAGCATTCAACTACCCCATTGTATAAACTAAAGTAGGTTGTGTAAGACTGTAAATGTTTATATTGTCACTTTTGATCCATTTAGCGCATCCTTGCAGAATAAAATAATTCCTCTAAGAAAAAAACAAGCCCCTTATGATTTTGAACAATAAAAGTAAAGCTGAGACAGATGGATTTGCTCATTCAGTGACCTTAAGAGTCATGTGACTAAACACAACTAATGACCTCCATTTCCTGCGTATCTTCTGATAGCGCAGTGTTGACTACAGAGCAAATGTCTCTATTATTCCACTGTTCTGTGATAATATTTGTGCTTAATGTGATTTATTGCTTCAGAAATTGATTTTTGTTCTATCTGATGTCCTTCCAGAGGCACAAATCAAAAGCATATGCCCTTGTCCTTTTCACAGCTATTCGTTTCACTAAGCTTTTCAAGTTTTTTTTTATTATTATTATTATTATTATCATTTATTTTTCATTTTTTATCATTCATCAGCTCTGCTCAAAGGAGATACAAAATTTCTGTTTTGTGGCTGATAATTTCACTTGTGTGGATTTACACATGAGGTTTATTTTAAAAACATTGCGTTTATTTTCTCTAGTTAATTGACAGAGTTGGCTGATAAAGCAGACTGTAAACAGAGAGAGCGTTAAGCGTTAGGTGGATGATATGAGCCACTTACAAAAAAATTATTGGAAACGCTTAAAATAGTGACTGAAGGATTGGAGCAGTGCTGCCTTTAGGGTTAATAGAACCAGTCATTCTTGATAATGAATCTGAATT